TTGTGTAATAACACTATATATATATATATATATATATATATATATAGTCAATACCTCTACTCCGGAGTTTTGTAGACGAACTGCTGTTGTGTTTTGTGCACTTCTCAGGAGATATCAGCAAAGTATCGCGTTTTCGTTATTTTATATTAAGCTAAAAATAATTTATGTAGCGTTATTATTGGTGATTTTCTTTGTATGTGTGTGTATGTACTTGTATGTGTGCGCGCGTGCATGCGCCTATGCGACTGTATTTACGCCTGTCTGTGAGCGTATGTACACATGTGTTAGAGTGTCGTTGCTATTTCTTATCATAGTTTAATTGTCTCTTTATACACTCTGGTCTTTCCTTTTCTTTACATTTCGTCTCTGTGGATCAAGTGTTAATATAGCGAAGATATTTCAGCGGTCAAATACGACTTAAAATTAAGGTCATATTCGAGAATAGTATGGAGTTGTCTGAAGTTTATCAAAGCGTACGTGTATTCTGATTCTTTATTTATTTCTTGTCTAAATAATAATAATAATAATAATAATAATATATTTTAATTAATACTTAATATATAGCAGAGGCCAAAAGTCTGGATTCACTCCGTTCAATTAAGTTTAATTTACATCTACTAAACATAAGCAGCTGAAATTAATGTATGGCCATCATTTTTTTTTTTTGAGAGAGAGCGAGAGTGTTACCTAATATTTGTAACCGCCAGTCATATGATTAAGATTAGCCAACAATGTATATTAGGCAAAAAATAGCTGAAATGATTAGGAAACTTTATTCAGTAATGGGTTAATCTTGTTGTTTTTTTGCTTATTATTATTATTATTATTAAATATATGATAAAATCCTTAACGAAGAGAAATCCCCTTTGTAAGAAGTGAACTAATAAATTACTTTTCCAAAAGGCAGGTTCCCATCATTATTTAGACTTAAAATTATCATAATTATGGGACACCCTATATATATATATATATATATATATATATATATATATATATATGTGTGTGTGTGTGTGTGTGTGTGTGTGTGTGTAAATATATCGATATAGATCCGACAGTATGAAGAAAAATATACTGAAAAAACAAAACAAAAATCCTAATATGCGATTATGCTGTTTTTTAATGTTTAATGTCAACTTCGGACGTTTCGGTCTAATAGACCATCTTCAGGACATATTCATAAAAACATAATTAACATAGACCATATACAATTCAACATGAAAAAGACAATGGACATAAAAGCAAGACCAATCCAAACAGATAACTGAAATTTTTTATAAACACTAGACATGGCTTCTTTAATATTTCCCCTTTTCTAGCAAGATTAATGTCGACAAACGTACATATAAGATTTAGATCAAAATAAAATTCTTTTCGTTTTTCATTCAAAATAATCAAATTTTAAGAATACGTTTTCACAACATCGCCCACGTAACGACGACGTGATCATATTTAAACGGAACGCTGATCTTATAAAATATTTCAGTTATCTGTTTGGGTTGGTCTTGCTTTTATGTCCATCGTCTTTTTCATGTCGAATTGTATATGGTCTATGTTAATTATGTTTTATGAATATGTCCTGAAGATGGTCTATTAGACCGAAACGTCCGACGTTGATATTAAACATTAAAACATCATAATCGCATATTAGGATTTTTGTTTGTTTTTTCAGTATATTTTTTCTTCATATATATATATATATATATATATATATATTCAAAAATGATATTAACATATTATAACCTCACTACAAAAATAGCCATTTTGTTTCAACACTTCTAGTGGCTTATCATGGTGTTGAATGTAGAATAAAGAGTTTTAAAGAGTTCAAATCAACCAAACAGCCCTCAATTATGTTAGAATTTTTTAATAAATAAAATTTGCTCTACTCTGTATTCAGCGCTCTTTTAAGAATAGTTTTTTTGATTATTGGAATTTATTCCGTCTACATCTATTCTATACTTGGGAATATATATATATATATATATATATATATATATATATATATAAAAATATATATAAGGTTAGCGATATTTATGGCCAAAAGTAAAGTTCTCAATATCGGAGATGGATCGTATTTAAAAAAATAAATGTGGACACTTAGATCAAAACCGAGCGGCGATAGTCTGTTTCATGATTCAACGCAATTTTCAGGCCATATATATATATATATATATATATATATATATATATACATATATATATATATCACTGATCGCGAGTGACCTCTATTACCAGAAATCACAGATGGGTATACTCGTTAATTGCTGCATGAATCTGTGAGGACATTAGGGAATTACAATGGCAAAAAGAACTGATCATATAATGGGTGTAGTAGTAAAATATCCAAATCGTGTAACAGTAAAATTGTCCAATTGTTAGATTACGCTTTGAACCGGTGTATCTTAGAATTGATTAAAGATATCTTACTGGAATTCTTCGAGGTTTTTTTATAACATTATTGGACTCTACTTTGAACAGTACAAATGTATTTAGCTCTAAGTTGAAACGATTATCCCTCTTCCAGTTGTGACCTCCTGTTCCAGTTTCCCTCTCTGCTGTTTCCTCATGTTTAAACTCCTTCATCTTTCTCTGGATGTTTCTTGAATAAACTTTGAAGGTGGAAGCCAGAGTGTAGATGTTGGTACCATTACTAAAGGCCTGAATGATCTTTTTCCTCTCACCATTGCTCATTTGGGATGACATAATGAGCCTGACACAAAACGATTTTAGCCTGTTCTCTTTCTAGGTGTATAGCTCAAAGGGTTTTTCAGTGATTCTTATGACAAATGGTGTCAGATGGCTAAATGTCTTATCTGAAAACTTGGAAAAAAGAAATTCAATTATTTTAGTATCTTTTTTTTTTTTTAGATATTAAACATTTTGTGGGATAGACAATTATCACATGCTGTTACACGATTTCATCAGTTTTCCTGTTACATCCTGTACATCAGGTTATGTATATAGGCCGCTGTGAATTAAGAGAAGTGGAGGAAGAGGAAAGCCACCCTCCCCATTTTCATTAGTTTAGAGATAATGGCTGACCTCCAGGCCTGTTTATTTATGCTCATCGGGTGGTTTAAAGAAGTGCACATTTAAACAAGCAAGGTTTATGTTAAGTTCAAAAGATCCTGATGACCGTAACCAAGGAATGGAATAACCATTAAGAAAAATAAACATGTGCTTAGGGCATCATGGGAAGGGTACACCACAGAAATTATAATATGATGTTGTACACATCGAAAGAAATAAGTCGAACACGATTAACATTTGAATCAACAGGGCGCCATTATGAAATGGGGACAACTGGCCTGCAGTGAATCTTTGTTGACATTCTGATTGGTTAATAAGGGAATGAGCTAAGGGAGATAATGAGGATTGTATTTACTCAATACAACACATCTCCTTTGAATAATTTAGTATTACTAATTAAATTAATGGGATTTAATTTTTGTGAACAGGGGTAGACTACCTTCATGTTCGTTTGGCATTATTCTAGCCATATGGCTATGTGATTATGTAACATGCTGGTTTCTTGATTAAACGACAACTTCTGGTTACAGTTCTGTTACAACCTGGTGTGGCTCATTTGACAGTAGCTGCTCAGCTGTGATTGGTTCATTCTTGTTTGGTGTTGTTCTGGGTTGGAACTGATGATCAGCTTCTCTCAATGGTCGTATGTGCCTTTGGTTCATTCTATATTTTTTTCCATCTAGCGTTTCCACGGTGCAAATTCTCGGTTGATAGCTTTATTTACTTGCACTACCTACAGAGACTCAATGCTAGTATACTTAACTCGCAGGTGTATGGAGGGCCCCAAATCTTTTAAGTGCTTAGGACCCCTATGGGTCTTAGTCCGGCCCTGCTTAGCATCCACTGCTATATAGGAAGACCGGTATTACAGAACACTTTTCTTTGTTTCTAATTACCTGCCATCCGTTTCACACTCCTCCCCGATCTGCTGAACGGGAATAGACATTTATCCCTTGTTACCTGTTTAGAATTGGGTTTCCGGTTCCTTCTAAAGTGTACTTCCACTCTATGCTGTAATGATTTGCTGTTGTATACGTCTAAAGAAATAAGTCGAATACGATTAACATTTGAATCAACGGGGTACCAGTATGAATGGGAAGATAACCGACTCGCAGAAAATCTTTATTGACATTCTGATTAGTTAATAAGGGAATGAACTAAGGGAGATAATGAGGTTTGTATATTTACTCAATACACCACATCTGCTCTCTTGAATAAGTTAGTATTACGAATTAAATTAATGGGATTTAATTTGTTGTGAACAGGTGTAGACTACCTTTATGTTCGTTTGGCATTATTCTAGCCATATGTCTATGTGATTATGTAACACGCTGGTTTCTTGATTAAACGACAACTTCTAGTCAGAGTTCTGTTACAATCTAGTTGTGGCTCATTTGGCAGTGGCTACTCAGCTGTGATTGGTTTATTCTTGTTTGGTGTTGTTCTGGGTTGGAACTGATGATCAGCCTCTCTCAATGGTCGTATGTGCCTTCTGTTCATTCTATATTTATTTCCAGCTAGTGTTTCCACGGTGCACATTCTCGGTCGATAGCCTTTATTTACTTGCACTACTTACCGAGACTTCATGCTAGTATACTTAACTCGCCCCAAATCTTTTAAGTGCTTAGGGCCCCTATTGGTCTTAATCAGGCCCTACCGTAACCTGATCTTTCCTCTGTCCTAGCTCTGATGGCTCAAAGGGGGAAAGGAGTAGCGTGTAATATTCAATATGTCCAAAACAAAACTGGTAACGTCCCACCACCAGCCAGTAGGCCCTGAAATTTCATTTATCATGATGAATGAGCGTTCTCTCAAGGAGGTTCCTTGTCTTGAATATCGGGACTTGAATTGGGTCTCGATCTCGCCATTGGTCTCAAGTGGAACATATATGCGATCTATTGCTGAAGATGCTGGAAACATGGTCAGCTGATAGTACCGCTCCAGTAAGTATCTGACTCCGCCTGCTACAGTAAGAGGAGAAACCTATTCATTATCTATATCAAATCAATTCATATCTATCTATCTATCTATCTATCTATCTATCTATCTATCTATCTATCTATCTATCTATCTCGTTCTAGTCACATCTAGCTATCTATCTTTAGCAATCAATTCATATTTAACTATCTATATCGTTCTATTACTATGTATCTCAATCTATTCATATCTCTCTATCTATCAATCTATCTAGCTATCTAGCTATCTCGTTCTATTAATATCTCAATCTATCTATCTATCTATCTATCTATCTATCTGATTAAGTTAATATCTATCTATTTATCTATCGCAGTCTATTCGTATCTATCTATCTATCTATCTATCTATAACAATCAATTCATATCTATCTCATTCTATTCATATCTATGTATCTCATTATATTCGTATCTATCTATAGCAATCAATTCATATCTAAAGCATTCTATACATATCTATCTATCTATCTATCTATCTATCTATCTATCTATCTATCTCATTCTACTCGTATCTATCTATAGCAATCAATTCATATCTATCTATCTATCTATCTATCTATCTATCTATCTATCTATCTATCTATCTATCTCGTTCTATTCCTATCTATCTATCTATAGCAATCAATTCATATCTAAAGCATTCTATTCATATCTGTCTATCTATCGCATTCTATTCGTATCTTTTTAGCTATAGTAATCAATTCATATCTCTCTCATTCTATTCATATGTATCTATGTATCCGTCTGTCTGTCAAACCCATTCTGTCCATACCGCAACATGCATATATGTATATATATATATTAATTAAGGCCCAGTTTTATAGGGCTAGTCAATGATTCTTTCGTCTTCTTTTGAAGTCTGTGCAATCCTAATCCAATTTTCTGATTAACAAGTGACTTGCACCACATAAAAGCAGATTTTGAGGCTTTGATCACATCATCGACTGCTTAGCAGGATGAGACTATCACTGAGATAGGATAATCAAAATGTCAGAATATTCAGAAAGATGTTTTAAAAGCGTGATAAGAGACAGATAAGAATCCTGGAAGCCCATAAAAATAGCGGGCCCGTAGAAAAGGATGGATTCATACAATGAACTTTTTTTTTAACTGATTAGAAAATCTATTATAGATAAAAACGCATATCGACATTATTCAGTCACGACATAGTTCTAGTTACCTTTCGCTTATCTTAAACAGCTTTGTAGTTAAGGTTTATTAGGTGTTTGCAACATTTTTCCAGCGTTGTTTCTGTCTTCTTCTTCTTCTTCTTCTTCATTATCTTCGTGGACTTCAATTTTCTTCTTCTTTGTATTCTACTTCATCATCATCATCATCTTCGTGGACATCATCATCATCATTTCTTCTTCTTCTTTCTTCTTCTTCTTCTTCTTCTTCTTCTTCTACGTGTTCATTCATCATCATCATCATCATCTTCGTGTTCTTCTTTCTTCTTCTTCTTCTTTCTTCTTCTTCTTCTTCATCATCATCATCATCATCATCACCATCATCTTCGTGTTCTTCTTCTACTTCTTTCATCTCATCATCTTCTTCGTGTTCTTCGATTCTTCTTCTTCTTCTACGTGTTCTACTTCATCATCATCATCATCACCATCATCTTCGTGTTCTTCGTCTTCTTCTTCTTCTTCTGATTCTTCTTCTTCTTCTTCGTGTTCTACTTCTTCTCATCATCATCATCACCATCATCTTCGTGTTCTTCTTCTTCTTCTTCTTCTTCTGATTCTTCTTCTTCTTCATTATCTTCGTGGACTTCAATTTTCTTCTTCTTTGTATTCTTCTACTTCATCATCATCACCATCATCTTCGTGTTCTTCTTCTTCTTCTTCTTCTACGTGTTCTACTTCATCATCATCATCATCATCACCATCATCTTCGTGTTCTTCGTCTTCTTCTTCTTCTTCTGATTCTTCTTCTTCTTCTTCGTGTTCTACTTCATCATCATCATCATCACCATCATCTTCGTGTTCTTCTTCTTCTTCTTCTTCATCTCCTTTTTCTTCTTCATCATCGTCATCATCATCCTCCTACTCATCCTCATCATCTTAATCATAAACTTCGTGTTCTTTTTCTTTTTCTTCTAAGTGCTGTATCCTACCAAAATGTGGGTGATCATGGCTTTCCGTAACTCCCTAATCCTAATGCTCCTTAGCAGCGTTTTTCTCTTTGCTAAGCTTCCTGCACCCACGTTCCGTCATCTTTTCACATAAACTCGTACCTTCCCCTATCTCTCTTGCTCTCTAGATGCCCTGTGAGGGTTATGTTTTCCCAGCCCTCCTTCCTCATGATGTATCCAAGAAATTCCAGCGGTCTTTTTTCTAATTCTGAGTGTAAGTGTTTTTTGTTTTTTTTTTGTTACCGTTTCCTTTTTTTTTTTTTTAAAAAAAAAACCCCAAAAAACTGGTTTTCATTGGAAACGTTTGCACATACTTCGTATATGCCATCTAAAAAACAAAAAAAAGCCCCAAAAACTTTCGATTTTGGTTCAATGAATTCTTTGGGAAATGTTTCGATGTCTCGAATATTCTGGAACCAATAGCTTAGCCTGGAATGAAATAAGAAAATGTCTGTGAATGCATTAGAAAATGCATCAGATATATATAAAAAAAAAACAACAACTTTCAATTGCAGCCAAAATCTACAATCACTTGAGTCACATTTCTTTTTTATGTACTGAGAAAACGAATGATTCTCCTTTTTCTACATACCACATTCTTTCATGACGTATGAAATTATGGCTCTCCAAATCTTCCTATTCTTCGTAGCACAATAATTTTAGTCTTTATGTTATTTTTCTTAAACCCTGTGCCTCCGTAATATTTACTCAAGTATTTTATGTGTTGTTTTCCTCTGTCCATCTTGTCATTAATTTACCCTCTGAGTATTATATTTTCGAAGCCCTCTTTTCTCATTATGTACACGAGGAATTTCAACTGTTTCTTCCTTAAGTATAAGTTTCCTTTTTGTTTTCATTTTCTCTAAAACCTCGTCGTTACTCACATGTTCAGTCCATGGTATCCTCAACAGCCATCTGTAGAACCACATTTCCGTTGCTTCAAGTCTCTTCTTCATCTTATGGGGGAGATTGTTCAGCATTCAATGCCACATAAGAGGACAGATGTCAGGTAACAGTTCTGTACTCTTTTCTTTGTTTCTGACGAATTTTTTCCTGTTTCTTAATACTCTGCTTAGCTTTTTGAATAAAATTTTGGTTATCTCAATGTGCCTTCGGATTTCAGTGTCACACTTTCCATCCTCTGTTAAAACACTTCCCAGATATTTAGATTTTTGTAATTGTTTCATTTTGGTATCGCCAATTTATAATTTGAATTTTGGTTTCATCTTCTGGCTAAAAACCATGCCACATGAAAATAAACATTTTAATTTCCAAAGATTTTTAATTTTTTTTTTTTTTTTGCGTTATTGTGCTTTTGAGGTCTATGTGCGTCCATTCCACGGCTTTCATTTAATCTAATTTAAATTTCTCCAGCAACATAGCCATTATTATTATTATTATTATTATTATTATTATTATTATTATTATTATTTCTTTTGATTTCTGGTGTGTACTCATTTCTTTCCGGGTTTCAACCAGAGACCTAAGGTCAGAAATGGCATCATGACATTTTCCACTGAGCAATTTAAAGAACAAAAAAAACAAGACACATTTTATATAGATAAAGCCCTTCGTAAGGTGTGATCTGTACTTTTTTTTTGTATTTTTTTTTTTGCATTTCTTTAAGGCATGGGCTTCTAGGAATCTCTTCAATGAGTCTACTGGATTCTTTTCCAATCAAGTCCGGTTTCATGCTCAGAAAGCGGGCGTTCTAAACAATTCTACCACTCGCTCGGAAACCTTTGGAAAGTGCCTCAAAACTATACCACGGGTTGACTCAAGCCATGTGAATGAAAATTGAGTTGAGAGAACTAAACGGAAGCCGTCGATGGTTGAATCTGACACCAAAATAGCATTAAAACAGAAACGTAATATAAGATACAACAATAACAAAAAATAAAAACTAGTCAAAAACTAGAAAATCTTTGTTCGAGCAATTATACAACGTAAGAATATTGCATTTAACCCTGTGTTAATCACCGCGGATTTCCGAAAACAGATAATCCCATGGTGACGCCATCCTACGACAACTGATCTACAACTGCGCCACAATGTGTGTTATACACCCACAGTTTAGGGGATTGGTTGTAGGTGGCAAAGGAAGTAATTTGCCGAATAGGAATCACAAGTTGGGGAATAACAAGACAACCCCTACGACTAATGGCGTGATGAGACGATTTTCCCGGCCACTGCCATCGAGCGGACTGGGAAATCGTGTCATCCTTACTCCTATGGCATCCTTCTAGCTCGAGATTCAGGGTTGGGCATTGGGGACTGCAATACTGAACCGAACGGCGTGCAAAGAGATAGTCAATGGAATTCCGACCAAACATAGAGAGGTCGAAGGGTAACGATGAAGCGTAGAGGATAGCAGGAGGAGTCAGATTCTTCATATTATAATTTGCTTATATGCTTATAAATTATTATAATTATAAACTGCCACCAAGTGGTCAGGGAAATAATTTAATCCTTACTCCTATGGAGGTTGTTCCACGCTCCTCAAAACCTCCTGCTCAAATGCCTTGTTGTCGGATGTAGTTTATCGTCTTAAACAGAACGCAGATGTAGTTTATCGTCTTACCCAGGTCGATGGAGAAGAGATTTGAGGCGACATAAATGTGGTTCGACAGAAGGTTGTTGAGAATACAAAGGACTGAACATGTGAACAACGACGAAGTTTTAGAGAACATGGAAACAAAACGTACCTTCATGCGCAGCCCCGGAAAGAGATGGGCACTCAGAGGAAGGAGGGTTTGGAACATTTGACGCTCACAAGACATTGAAGACGAGAGAGGCAGAAGAATGCAGCGCGTGGGCTACCTAACGAGCTGGTGTACATGACTGGCAGAACAGGGATTAGGAGAGATATCAAAGCGATAAACAAGAGCTGCAGAGGGCAGGAAATTCTTGATAGCCATGATTGCCCACGTTCTGAAGGGACACATCACGTAGGAGAAAAAGACAAGATTTGAACCTGGGACTCCGGGTCAGAATGCTAATGTTCGATTATAGGACAACTGGCGCCTGAATACTTCCCCCTGGGTAATTGCCCCCTGACAATTACAACCTGGACAATTGCCCCATAGAACAACTAATCATAGTGATGTAAAACAAAATACATCTTATTATTGCATTATTTTCTTATTAGGAAATAAGAAATTAAAGAATTGATTATTGTAATTATAATTTTTTTATAAACATTGTTTTAAAAAGACAGTTATCAATTATGTAATTTGTAATTATTGTATTTGTGTATAACTCACGATTCGCAATTTTCTTGGTATACTATAATTATTTTATTACTATAAAAGTCTGCGAACGTTGCTTGTGTGTTTGCCAGAAGTTATATATAGAGAGTGGTGAAAGAACGATATGAATTTATTATCGTATAGGAAGCGGGGGTGGGGGCGAGAGAAGGAAAAAAAATACCGCTCTCTCTCTCCACCCACCTCTCACACTCCCTCACCCCGTAATTGCGCGCGTGCTTATTCATATTTCAGCTTTCTTTAAATAAAAAAAATATTTTACATGTTTTTATTTCAACTTTCTTCAAG